TTTCCTCTTACTCCAAGGGCTGGATAAAGTAAAGAGCCTTCCTGCCTCATAGTTTCATCCTCAAAAATTGGAGATCCTTGTTGGGGGTTCCATGTGTTGCTTCCAGGAAAAAAGGATTCTCTTGGAGGATAGGGTACATCCTCAGTATATGTAGGGTGGTGGGTTCCATGTTTCATTTCTGGTGGGTTAATTTCAGTATCAGATGGATCTTTTCTTGGTTCTGAAACCACTCCCTTGGGAAAATTTGATGTTTGTATACCAGCTGGGAATTTCCTGGAATCTACTCTTGGATAATAAGAATTTTCATGTTGGTCAACTGAATTGACACTTGGTATTGGAGGGCTGCCCTCTGGAGGAGGTAATTTGTAATTTGACTTGTTAGTCTCATAACCTTCTGAGTTTCTCCAGGTGCTGGTTGGGACCCTTGTCGGAAAGGTTGTCCTTTCTGTCTGGGTCGTTGGATTCTCTTTTGGGTTTTGAGTCTGCTCATCTCCATGGGCAGTGACATGCTTGGCATCTGCTGACACACCATTTGTTTCTTCAGGCTCTTTGGTTGGACTCTGGGGGTTTTGCCCATTATTTACTAGATTTGATACATAATTGGGAGAATTGCTCTTAGAAATGGAAGGATAAGCTTTTTGGTAAGCTGTGTTTCCTGGGCCAGCTATTTGTTTGCTTATATAGGCCAAATTATGCCATTGGTAGTTCCTTTGATTGGGATAACTTCTATAAAATGGGATACTCATTCTAGGTCCTGAAGGGAGTCCTATTTGGGTCCATTGTCTGCCCACAGGAAAGCCTCTAAAATTAGGGTTTGGAGAGTTTTCGAAAACATTTGGCTGACTTGGGAGCTGGGGGATCTGGCTTCCTGGTGCATCAGGAACTGAGATATTAACAGTGGGAGCCGAATGAACCCCGGGATGTACTCCTTGGTTGTTCCCAGGGCTCTGAGCTTGAGCATCATTCCCTGTTGGGCTGGTCTCATTTCCACCTTGACTGCCTCCTGGGCTAGGCACAGTTGGTTGAGTTGAATTGGTCTCAAGGGTGGTGGTGTTTGGGGGAGGGGCCGAGGTGGTGCTCTCCACTTTGGGTGGATCCTCCTCCTCTTTGGGCTTTTCATAATCTTGTTCAAACATCTCTTCTGAATAATACGGGGGTCGCCCTCCAAATCCGTGATATCCAAAATAGCCAAAATAAGGGTTCTGTTGGGAGAAAGAAGTAAATAAGGAATTTCTCTTTGTTGTTCAACAACGTTTCTTTCAAAATCCTTAATGTGAAGAGGGAGTTGTAGTGTCACGTTAGCTTTGACTACTACTCTCAAGAATAATCTTTTTTTTTTTCTTATATTAAATATCTAGGTATCAAGGTATAGTGGCCAAAGAGCCATCCCCAGAGCCAACAAAATCTGGGTTCAGGTTTTGTCTGTGACATATACTGGCTGTGTGACCCTGGGCAGATCACTTAACCTGTCTGTATTCTAGGCAACTCTCTAAGACTGTGAGCTTCAGATGAGTGTTGACCTGCATCGGGAGAAGAATTTCCTCACTTCCCAGTTCCTTATGTCAGTGAAGTAATGGGATTTGGTAACTATACAGTAACTATGAAATCACAGGTCTGCACCAAAATCCCCCATAAAGCTCCAAACTGGATAGGCATTCAGAAAAAGCCAGTTGGCCAAAATCACTTGGATTGCTTAAAGCATCCTCCTCTATGGGCCATGAGCCATGTTAAGGCCAGTCCCAAGCAGAATTGTGAAGCAGGCAGAATTTGCCTTAGCATCCTCAGGCTACCTTTCGTATGTCCTCTCTCCCTATCTTCTCATATCTTTCAGGTCCCAATTCCCACACCCCTAGCAAACTTACAGTTGGGAGAGGAGTCAATACTGCTAATTTATACCTCAGCATCGGTTTCTCAATTGTTACCTTTTCTGAGGGCGTTTGCTTTTTAAATCTTACTTCTAATTGTCTCCTATTGGAGGCATTCTAAGCACTGATGAACATCATTGGGGGAAGTATCCTTGTATACCAGGAGCCTTCCTGAGTCCCTACAATCACAGCATGTAGGCAGCTGCCCACTCTGTTTGAGACCGGCCCTGATTTGTGCATGTGTTTGGTCAGAGAGTATTACTGTTTAGTGGTAATGTTACACTCGGTGCTTTCAGCAGGGAATAGGATCGTAAATCCACAGAATCCCAGAATGTAGAAGGACCTTGGAGTTCTTCTGATCCAACAAATGAGGCCAGACTAATGCTCAGAGGACTTCTCCAGATCCATAGGAACAGAAATAGTCAGAGCTAGAAATCTGGTCTCCTTGTTTACATGCCTGTTTGAGCTTAGCCGGAAGGCTGAGCCTCAGTCATACTTACTACTGTAGGAACTTTTTGGGGCGGGAGAGAATTATTCTCATTTTATAGACAGAAAAAAATGAGAGACAGACAGGTGAGGTGCCACATTTAAGGTCACAGAGAAAATCATGGGTTGGAACAGAGGATGTACTATAGGTTTCTGAATCTGGTCCAAACATACCCTGAGACTTTTCTGCTGTAAGACAACGAGAGCAACAATAATCATAATAAACATTAAATAGTCGCTAGCACCTACATAGCACCTCCTGTGAGCCAGGCACTTTACAAATATGATTTCATTTTATCCTCATAGCAAGCCTGTGAAGTAGTTGCTGTTTTTATCCCCATTTTACAGTTGGGGAAACTAAGGCAGGCAGCTGCTAAGTGACTTATCCAGAGTCACACTGCTAGATAAGTGTCTGAGACTGGTTGTGAACTCAGGCCTTCCTGGCTGCAGGCCTACTGTTTTGCTCATTGCACCACCTTGCTATTTCTGTTAGGTTCTTCCTACCACTGCTCTGAATGCAGTATTCTTGGTTAAACACAACTGTGATAAAAATAGTCCACAATGACATGGTGCTTTATAAACTCTAAAGCCCTATGATAGAGGTAGGGGGGGTGTCATTGTACAAGTTCTAGATACGAGGAAACTGAAGCTCACAGAAATGAAGCGGTTTCCCACAGAGCTGGTGGTTGGCACAGCTGGTGCTGGAGCCCGGCCAGGCTTTCTGAGACCACAGATATCATGCCTGCCATCTCCTCCCTCTCTCTCTCTCTCTCTCTCTCTCTCTCTCTCTCTCTCATCCATCTATCATCTATCTATCCATCCATCCGGGTATCTATTAAATCTATTTATCCATGTATCTATATCTGTCTATCTATCTGTCTGTCTGTCCATCTGTCTATCATCTATCTATCCATCTATTTATCTATCTCCAGCACCTATTCATTTATCATCAGTCTATCTGCCTGCCCATGTGTCTGTCTATCTCTTTATCCCCTGTCTATCCATCCATCATCATGTTCGTCATCATCCATCTATATCTGTGCTGCAGTGGACTGCAGGTAGAACCACAAAAACCATGGGGGCAACCAGGCCTTCAGTCAGGGTGACAAAATTTGGAAGGCTCAAATACCACTTGTTCTTCATCAGATAGGAAAAACCCCTGAAATGAGCATTTAGTTGGCAAGAATAATTAATTAAAATAGGAAGCTACCAGATGGCATTCTTCCTTTACCCAGTAGCTGAATAACAGGTGAGCTTCTCCCTCGCCTGGCCCCACCTTACTCCTGTGTCTGCAGTAAGACTCCTTGGCAGTGGACTCAGCCTGACCTGGGGTCTCTGTGGACCAGTGTCCAGGAATTTTGGTTCCTCCCTCCTCCATGAGGCGGCGTGCTGAAGTCTCTTCACCTTACATGGCCTTGCATCTTTGACAGATCTTCCTTGGCCACCATTTTTCTCAACTATAGATATCTATAGATTCATTTACTTTTTTGACTGAATTTTTATTTTTTCCAATCAATGGAAATCTATCTTCTCTTGTTCCTACCTCCTCCCTAACCCCATTGAGAAGGAAAGAAAAACAAAATGTCTGTTCCAAACATGCATTCAAGCTGTAAAATGAAAGGGGTTGGGCTAGCTGGCCTTCTCACTGGGATGTATGATCCTGTACCCTGAGGTCTTTCCTCCTCTCCACCCTCCCACAGCCTCCTTCAAATGTCTTTGTCCTAAAAATGTTGATTTGAGGTGCTTTCTGTATTGCTTCTGTTCCCAGGAGTGATTTTGTGGTGCTTGGCCCAGGGACCATCTTTGCTAGTAGTGGCACAGGCTTCAGTGACTGATACCCTTGGAAGCCCCATTCCCACAGATCTATGGAACCAAATATTTCAAGGGGGTAAATCAGGCAGATAGGATAATGTAGGAAGCGATCCCCTCAGAAAGCTTAGATGACCAGTCCCTAGAGGTCATGCCCCAGCAGAGGCCCAGCTATGGTAATTTACATTTTAATCATAATAATGATGATCTGTGGGTCTCTTGTCCCGTACAATCAGGACATCAGACCATTAGCCTGTACCACTAGCACACGAGTATGCTCAGAAGACCTGGATTCTAATTTTCACTCTGTCATTAATTAAATGTGTAACCTTTTATGTAACCTTCTGAAGCCTCAGTTTCCTCATTTGTAAAATGGGGAAGGGGGATGAGTTGACCTCAGTGGTGCTTCTAGTTTTGAAAACTATGATTCTGAGTCATCCTGGGTTCCTTTTCCTGTTTACAGTGTTATTAGACTAAGAACACAGATCTTGGATGCTCTTAGGTGCCTCTCACAGAGAATGAAATGAAGAGACAGATTATGTTAAGTCGCTTTTGGCTTCCTTGCTTGGTCTCTCTTCTCCCACTGTCTAATTTCCTTTAAGCCCTGGGTATAAGGGCCGTGCTTCTTGGATGGATTCAGTGGCTTTCTTTGCAGGACCCCGAACAGAAGGAGAATGCTGGTAAAGGGTGATTTTTAGGGATGGTCTATGGTTTGAATTCCACTTACCCCACCTTCCTCATTGCTGCCTGGTGGACGTCCAAACCCCGGAGGCACTCGCTGAAAGGGGAAAAACACGGTCCAGTCAACTAAGAGATATTCCATAAAGACCAAAGAGAACCCTTGGTAAGGTCCTGGCCCTGGCCACTATGTCTCTGTGATAGCCCCAAGCAGTGGACTTAGGAATGAGCTATCTGACACTTTCCAACAATCACAATGACAGTACAGTCACGGACTGGCCCCAAAGCCCAGGCCTGATTGAGCAGCACAAAGTCTTTGGCTGATGGGGACTGGCCTCATTGACCAGTCTTCCAGGACCATATTCCGCATCTATAGGGATGGGGACTGGGCCTGTGGTGTAGGGAACTTCAGACGGCAAAAACTCCCCCTACCAACATAAACTGGCATCTACACCGCCCCTTATGGTCTTACAGCACAGGGAAGTTAAGGGATTTCCCTAGGATCATACAGTATGTATATGGAAGCAGTGGGATTTAAATTTAAATGTTCCTTACGCCAAGTCCATCCGCTGGGGCATATTGCTTTTGGGCCTTGCCGTAGTAAATGCTCAGTAAGTGGAATTAAAATGAGGATAACAATACCTCTGTCACCTACCCCACAGGGTATTGTAAGGATCAAATGAGAAAATGTAGGTTAACTGTTTTGTCAACTCTAAGTCATGATGTAAACGTGACATTATTTCAATAGCAACTTCCACTTTTTAAAGTGAGACAGAATGATGTAGAAGAAGGAACGCACCACTTGGAGTCAGTAGCAAGTCATTATCTCTCTGGGCCTCAGTTTCCCCATCCACAAAGTGGAGAATGATAGTAATAATTATAATAATGATAACGATAATGATAATGATAATTCTAAGGCTTACAAAACATTCACACATGCATATTATTCCATTTGATTCTCACAACCACCCTGTGAGGTTGGTGTTATTATTATCCTCATTTTACAGACGAGGAAAACTGAGGCCAACATAGATTAAGTGACTTTCCCAGGGTCACATAGGAAGTGTCTGAGGCAAGATTTCAATTCTAGTCTTCCTGACCCCTGGTTTGGTGCTCTATCCACTGTGCCAACTAGATGCCTCTAACAATATGAGCATTGACTCATTTATTGTCAGTCACCTGTCTAGGTGCAACAAATTTCTGTGTGTCATGAATGTAATACTCTTGAGCTCTGCCTGGTGTCGTCTGAATCCTGAAAAGTATCAGAATCAACGGTGGAGTCTCATTTTACTGGGAAATACAAAGATGTCAGATCTCCATCCTCTGATATGGAGATGACTTTTGGGGCACTTTCTTCCCATGACCATCCCCTCCATACATAAACACACATACACACACAGCCACCTATGCATGCTCACACATGCACACGTGCACACATGTGCACACACACACACACACACACACACACACACACACACACACACACACACACCCTCTAGGAGAGGACCTAATGATAGAGATGAAAATGCTCTGTTATTTGTAGAGGATCCCTTCACATCTAGGGTGACTCCAATTGTGAGAGATATGGGACTCACGTAAGTGACTTGTGTATAATTGCCCAGCACATCTACCCTGAATCACCACCATGGGAGTTTCCTTGGGCCAAGACAAATATCCCTAACCAGACTGCAATGGTGTTTCCTTTCTAGGAACACAACATGGGGAAAACCTGACATGGAATTGCCATTTCCCATAGTCCTTCGAGGTGTTATACCTAGATAAGAGTGAATCATTCCAGTGCCATGCTTATGTAATACTTTGCCTGAAAGGGATTTCCTCTCTGTGGCTTTAGTATACTTAATTAAGTACAACAAACACTTTGAAAGAAGAAAAACTGAATAAATTCTTACTCCATGAAATGGATGGTTTGGTGGCGATGGAAAGCCTCCTGGATTATACATCTGTAAGTGAGAAAAACCAGTGCCAAGGTTTATAACAAATCACATTGATCTAACCCTAACTGAATTATTTTTTGACAAGAGGCCAACAAGTTTCCTTTCTCACATTTACTCACTGTCCTAGTTTCAAGGCATAGTTTAAAAATTCCAGTGATGTAAAACCAAGTTAGAATGAGGGGAATCAAATTTTTTTGTATTTTAATTGAAATATTTTCAAACTGAAGGTCATTGGGAACACAATTCAACATTATTTTTTCAAAATGGCTTTATGATGATTTATTTATATATTTACAATCAAATGTATAATTCTATATTCTAACATGTTTCTAATATGTATTTAGAAATATATTTGTATATTTCTAATATAATTCTATATTCTAATATATATTTCTAACATAGTTATTCTAATATATAATTCTATAGTCTAATCTATATTATATATTTCTGTATTTCTAATATATAAGCCTGTATTTTAATATGTTTCTAATATATAATTCTATATTCTAAATATACATTTCTAAATATAATTCTATATTCCAAACACATGTATTTCTAATATATGTATTCTAATGTGTGTTATATTTCTAATAATTCTATATTCTAATGTATATTTCTAATATGTTATTCTATGTTTAAATGTGTTTGTGTGCTGACAACATACAAGTCTACGTTCTAATATATTTCAGTATTTGAGTCAATATTTTAATGTTATATTTCTAATATACAATTCTATTAGCTAACATAAGATATATTTCTAATATGCAATTTTATATTCTTATATATTTATATAGCTTTATGTTTCCAATATATACTTTTATATATTAAATATTTCTATATTTAAATTTTAATTAAATTAAAATTTTAAACATTTCTTCTTAATATATGATTCCGTATTCTAATATATTTCTAACATATATACTAATACACATATTTATATGTTGACTTATGGTATATTTATCTGTAATTTATCTGTGGGGGTCATAGGGGTTAATGCTGTGGAATAATAAAATCTTACACTTCCAAGGGAAACTTAGGCTCCATCTATTTGAACCCATGTGTGAGCAAGGCCCATCTGTACTATCTCCAAGATGGATCATCTGTCCTTTCTTGTTAGAGAACTTACTACCTTCTGAGGAAGCCAGTTCCATCTGGACAGCTTGAATGATTCTATCAAACCAAAACCAAGCTCCTGTCTGGCGTTGAAAATGCTTCACAACTGGTCGAATTTCTCTCTTTCAAGTCTTTTAACCTGTTACTCCCTCCACACGACCTCTGCCCAGCCACACTGTCCTCCTTTTCTTTCTTTACACGCAGCATTCCATGTCCCATCTCCCAGCCTGACACATGCTATTCCCCCATGCCCAGAATCCTCTCCTCACCAACACACGTCACCAAGACAACTCACACGTGCAGCTCTGCAGGGCTTGATGACCCTTCTAGTCTTCTTGTGTCTTCACACTACTTCTCCCACCCCACTGCCCAACCCCTACCCAACGTTGTTTCTGCTGGGCAGCTTTCTCAGCTGGATTTGGTTTCTCTGGCTGCCCACCATGTCCAGAATCCTTTCCCTCATCTCTCAGTTACTATCTACTTTGTATATATTTTGTACGTAACTAGTTATTTACATATTTTCTCCCCCATTAGAATTTTGGTGTTTTTTGGCCTTTTTTATGTTCCTAATATTTAGCATGGTACCTGGCACACAGTGAGAGCTTAATATGCTTGTTGACTGCCTGACTCTCAGTGTTCTAGGCAACTCTCTTAAGATTGCAAATTTCAGAGGAGGTGATGACCTGCATTGGAAGAGGGAATTCCCTCATCTGGGAGTGTTGTTTCCCTCCATCAGAATGTGAGCTCCTTTTCTGTTTGTATTCTCACGACTTTGCACATAAAATGCTCATTTGTTTGTTCACTGAATCCTATCCCTATCCATGGTAAAATTTATGCTATGTCTACCTGACGGTAACTGCCGTTTACCTGGTGCTTTCGGGTTTACAAAGCACTTACAATCCAGTGAGCTAGATATTGTGAGAATCCTTAGCCCCATTTTACAGATGGGAAACTGAAGCTCAACTGAGAAAAAGTGACTTGTCTAAAGTCACACACTAAGGACTAGAGCCTGGATCTGAATTCAGTTTTCTCCTGACCCCAAGGCTGGGTTCTTCCTCCTCCATCTCATTGCTTTTACATGATGTCAGTTTGATTGACTGAAAGTTCAGGAAACCAACCCTTTCATTTTTTTAATCTACGTGGTGACAGGCATCTGACTTGGTTGGTGATATTTGGCTAAATTGCTGACTATCCTCAGAAGGCCCTGAACTGCCAGAGAAGCTCATATTAACTTAAAAGGCAAAATGCTAATAATCTTCCTTAATAAGGGCTTAAAAATGGGACTCACCTGTGGAAACTGCCATGGTGGCTGCTGGAAAGGAAACATCCCATTACCATATGGTGGATATTGCTGGGGAAAGAGTTGGGAGAAATAAAAGGGTTAAAATGGTCAATGAAAAATGAAATTAATGAGTCTGCATCTATCTTCTGTTCATTTACTTATTTATTGATTTGTTCATTTATATATTAATTTACTTATCTATTTATTTATTTGTTCATTCATCTATCTTCTATTCATTTACTGATTTCTCTTTGTTTATCTCTCTACCTATCATCTATTCATTTACTTTTTTATCTATTTCTTTACCTATCATCTGTTATCTTTTTTAATTTACTTTTTTATTCATCTATCTGTCATCTATCTTTATCTTCTGTTTACTTATCTATTTATCTATCTAGCTATCATCTATTCATGTACCTTTTCACTAAACTATTTCTTTTTTTTTATCAACTGTCATTATTTATTTATTTTCTGTTTGTCTTTATCTATTTATCCTGTCTATGTAGCTATCTGTCTGTCTGTCTGTCTCTTTCCTATTTGTCTATCTGCTGGCTGTCTATCTGTCTGTCTCTGTCTGTCTTGTCTAGACCGTTTATGTTTGTCTATCCAGTTGATCTATCTGTCTATCTATCTATTTATGTAACCTCAGATAAATGTAACCTCAGACATTTGCTAGCTGTGTGACTCTGGGTCTCCCTCAGTTTCCTCATTTGTAAAATGGGGATTATAATAGCACCAGCCTCTCAGCTTTGTTGTGAGGATCAAGGGAAACAATATTTGTAAAGTGCTTAGCATGGTGCCTGGCATAAAATAATAATAAATTAGTCACAATAATTAATAAATAATTAACAAGTCCTCATTTCCTTTCATCCATCTTAGAGAGTTTCCCCGAGCACTGGGAGGTAAGGTAACTTGCCCAACTCACAGTCAGTATGTGTCAGAGGCAGGATTTGAATTCAGGTCTTCCTGACTTAAAGGTCTCTATTCACTGTGCAATACTACCACTCGGGAGTCCCATACTCTAGCTAAATCATCATTTCAGCCCCTGCCCCCAATCTCTTTACTTCCCTTTCCTGCCTTCAGTCAGGATCCCACTCAAATGGTGTACCACGTTGTCCTCCTCTGTGCCTTGTGTATTGAACTTGTTAATGCACAATTCTAGGCCTAATGGCTTTAGCTCATAGGATTTTAGAATTATGAGGAAACACAGAGATCATGCTGGCCAACTCTCTTATGTTACTAATAAGGAAACTGAGTCATGGGTCATTCAAGCAACTTGCTGGGGTCACACAGCAGAGTCAGCGGTCAGGGTCTCTGAACATTTAGTCTAGTGCCTATATCCAATATGGCAGCTGACTTGACCTTTTTAAAAATTAATTTTTTTTGATCAAGGAAAATCCACCTTCTCTCCCTCCTACTTTCTCCTCTCCCCACTGAGAAAGAACAAAACCTCTTTTGCAAACCTGTATCATCAAGCAAAACAAATTACTGTGTGATTCTGTATTAAACAAAAAAAGGGTAGAGCAGCATCTTTGAAACACCACAATTCCCTTGAGTAACATGATTCTAAATGGTGAATGGCTTGACTTGTGAATAAATAAGTGACTTCAACACCACCCTTAGTAGTGTAGAAAGTATAGGACACTTCTAGGGTAGGTGGCTAGGCAGTACAGTGGATAGAATGCCAGGCCTAGAGTCAGGAAGATTTTTCCTATCAAATCTGGTCTCAGACACTTACTAGCTGTATGAACCTGGACAAGTCACTTAACCCTATTTGCCTGAGTTTCCTTATCTGTAAAATGAACTGGAGAAGGAAATGGCAAACTGCTCCAGTATCTTTGCCAAGAAAGCTCAAATGGGGTCATGAAGAGTTGGAAACAACTGAACACTCAGGGGATAGAACTCTGGCCCTGGGAGCCAGGAAGATCTGAGTTTAAATCCTGCCTCAGACACTAACTAGCTGTGTGATGCTGGGCAAATGACTTCAAGTCTCTCAGTCTTAATTTCCTCATCTGTAAAATGGGGACAATAATACCACCTACCTCACAGGGCTCTTGTGAAAATCAAATGATATGATATATGAAGCACTTTGCAAGCTTCACAGTGCTATATAAATGCTATTAATAATAATAATAATTATTATTATTATTTAAAGATGTGATAATTTAGTTCTATCCACATGGTTTGATGACCCTTGTCTAGAAGGAGCATTGAAATGCACAAGGGGCAATGAAGTTTCCTCATTCCCTCTAAGGCTCAATTCCCTATAATACTCAATTGATGATCTAAGCAGCAAGCATTTACTGGAGGATGTTCATCCTCTTCTTTCGGCCGAGGGGGGCCCTCAGGGGACTTCTTCGAAGGTGGCTTTGTTGGCGGTGGCTGGTTGGGTGTTGGGGTTTCCCGGCCTTCCCCTGCCTTCATCTGTGGTCTTGGTATGTTTGGTGGTATGGGACTCTGGGGAAGCCATGTGTTTGGTGGTAGCTGGGGCCACATTGGCATCTGGAACTGTGGAAACTGCTGGGCAAGCCGTATGTTGTATCCATACAGAGGACTGAGGTGTGCCATCTGGAAAGGTGACAACAGTGGTGAGGGAGGTGGGAGGGATGCAGTGGTGAAGATGAAGATTCCCAGCACCTAGATCACCGTGATATCTGTGACCTCTTGACAATGTAGAGAACAAATCCCCATCCCCTGGTGTCAACCCCCCAAACCTGGACAGGGAGAGAGGCTACCAGAAAAGTGCATGCTTTCAGCTGGGCTCTGACAGCTGAGGAGGGTGTGCGGGAGACTGCCATGTAAGAGTTTCATTTCAGTCCTCGAGGAAAAAAAATAGAAAAAAAGGAGGGGGTGGGGGGAGAAGAACGAGAGATTTTCTGTTTTGGTTGGTGGTTCTGCCAGCCTATATCATTTGCTTCGGGCTGTGTAATTAGGATTGCATGAGGAATTTGTGCTGAGTTAATGTTATACAAGGTGATGTCTGTAAAATATAGATCAAGGAGAAAGAGGAGGAGAAAGGTAATACTGGGGAAGAGATTAAGAGTCTGGGTAAACAGGGATTGTTCTTTTTCTTAAATCAACCTGTGTTTTCGTTGGTGATGAAAGGACTAATGAAGTGACCAAAAAACCAAACCAAAACCAAACCTAACAACAGGGAAAAGAGGAATAGTGACTGAATACCTAGAGAGTCCATAAACCTGAAAAATCATAGGCCCCTGGATCCCACCTTGCCGTCTGACTTGTACCTCCTAGTCTTATAGTCTCCTTGGCTAGGAAGACATGATTAGGGTCATGTGCCATGACGTGTCAGGAGCAGGACGTGAATCCATCTCTTCCTGACTTGAAGGCAAGGTCTCTATTCACTGTACCATGCTGGATGCCTCTCTGGCCAAGGACCAGGTTCCTCTATTCTCTGTGTGTGGCGCCTACTTTAATAGATATTGTTTTGGATTATGAGGAGGAAGAGTAAGAAGTCAGGAAAAAGAAAAATAAGGCATTGGGGGAGTGGGGTAAAGTAATTCTTTTCTGAGCCCTGTATGGAGCAGGAACTAAGATGGGGGGAATCAGGGCTTGGTCCCAAAGTGGACCAAGGGGGCAGATTTGATCCCTTTTGCCTTTTGGCATTTTCTGCAGTCTTTTAGGTCTTCTCCTTGCCCTTCACTGTGTGGTGCTACAGGGGTCCTGCCCTTCTCCCTGGCATCCTCCTGTTCTTTCTCCCCCTTGGCTCTCCTCCTGCAGGTTCCTAGATAATGCTACCCTCCCTATACCTAATTTGAGAGGATCAAACTCCACACAAATCCCAATTAAACCTGCCCTAGGGGCAAGAATTCCTAGTGCAACTTGGTCCTGTTGTATCTACTGTGTGACTATTAAAACAAGTGGGCAGGCAGGGAAGAGCACAGAAGATGGTCAAAGATAGGTCAAAGGGGAACTTACGTGTGGCATGTGCATGAAGTTATAATGTCCATATCGCATCATCTGGGAGCAAAGAGATCTGTTAGTGGCCCAATGCAAAGTCTCTCCTTCCTTCTAACTAGCCGCCCGACTCCCACATTCCACAGGGATAGTGACCTGACTTCGACACGTGGTAGTGACTATCCCCATTTTGTATAAATGGCTAGACTGAAAAAATGCAATCCAAAGATTCCAGGAGTGCTCGGAATCAGAATCTTCTTTAGAAGAATCGTCACAAGTTAGTGGAAGGAGAGGGCGGGAATGAGCATTTATGAAGCACTTACTGTGTGCCAGGCGCTCACTGTGCCGAGTGCTTCACAAATCTTATCTCATTCGACGCTGTGAGGTACGTGCCGTTATCATTATCAATTGAGCAAACTGATGTAGACAGAGGATAAGTGACTTGCCCAGGGTCACCCAGTAAGGAAGTGTCTGAGGCTGTATTTGAGCTCAGGAAGACGAGTCTTCCTGACTCCAGGCTCAGAGTCCTATTCACAGCGCCCCCTAGCTGCCTGTCTGGTACACAGTAAGTACTTAACAAATGCTTGTGGAGGATTGGTTAATTTGATTAGGAAAGCAAGTTTCCCTGATAATGTCCTTTGCTTCCTGCTTTCTGAACTTGCAGGGCAAGATGTTTATCTGCTTCCTCCCCTCTCCAAAATGGTCCATTCACTCCTCCCCCTCTTCCCGTTCCTTCTGCCCATTGCAGCTCTACTGGAAGGAGAGGCTGCACGTACCTCTTCACTCTTACTGCCAAATCCACCCATGCGAGGCATATGCATCTAAAAGACAGAGAGCACCCGTGTAACTTGTAGGAAAACACTGTCATGAAGGCAACGCGACCCTAGTTGTTCCCAGCATAGAACCCAAAGAAAAGGAAGTTGTAATCCTCATTACTTACAGGCATAGCGATGGAACAACTGAACAGACTGAGAAACACCAGGAGCGTCTTCATCTTTCTCTTTGGTACCTATGAAGCAATGGTGATTTTTACATCTCTGGGCTGTGAGAGAGTATTCTCATTTTAGAAAGCCTTGCAGATAGCCACCAGCCCACTGACTAGGTATGGGAGAAGGCAGCTGGTAAACGTTCCTGCTGCCATATCCGCTGTGGTGTGACTTCATCAGGCAGAGCTGCTAACAGGTACTCAAATGAGAAAAAAATTGAACGAAAAGGATAAGTGGTAGAGAATCCATAAACTTGAAAAATCATATTTAGAATTGGGAGGGACCCCAGAGACCATCTCATCCAACCCATCTCTACCTTTTTTCAGTTGAGGAAACTGAGGCCCAGAGAATTTAAATTATCTAAGTCACACAGGAAGCATCAGAGGTGGGATTGGAACTCAGGTCCTCTGACTCCCAAGCAAGTTCTCTTTTCACTGTATTATATCGTGTTTCATATTCTTGAATAACTGGGAATTTTTATGTATATATGTATGTTGCGCACACACACGTATGAGTACACATATATATAAGTGTATATGGTATATATAAGTATATATATAATAAATATATATGTGTGTATATATGTATATATGGATGTGTGTATATATACATACATATATGTGTGTGTATATATCTATATATCTATATATCTATATCTATATCTATATCTATATCTATCTATATCTATATCTATATCTATATCTATATCTATATCTATATCTATATCTATATCTATATCTATATCTATATCCACACACCCCTTCAATGTAATGCACTGAGCTTGGGCCTCACTTTCCTGGAGATTGTGAGTTATTCCACATGGGGATAAGAAGAATTGAATCTTCATTGAAATAAGGGTCTCCCAGGTGACAAAACTCCCTTTACCACTTCAAGTCAGCACATTCTTGGCAATTTATGGTCTTCGAAAAGTACCTAGAGTATTGGGAGGTTGAGACTTGGCCACCATCATATAGCTAGCATGTGTCAAGATGGAACTTGAACACAGGTCTTTTAGGAAGAAGATAAACATGAATTTGACTTAACAATGAACTCACACCTAGAATCAGAGAACTGAGGAGTCCTGATGGGGTGGCCCTGGAGAGCTAGCTCCCTTTAGCTTTTGCTTTTGCAGAGATCTCTCCTGATGCTCTTCTCTGATGCCTCATCTTGCCCTGGGGGTGAGTTTGAGGTCTCATACTAATGGAACAGAAGCTCTGGCAGGATCTACTGAGCTGGAAGGCCTTAGAATATGGGCCTGATTATAACTGCCATCCAGAAAGCAGAACAGCTGAGTCTAGAGAGACTAGTCTCTGACTTGCCTATGATGGTGGTTCTGGAAGACCATCTGCTGAATTATGGTGGGGTTGCTATGTGCACAGGCTGAGGAAAGACCCATTCTGATGAACTCATAGGCTAGGAATAGAGACCAAACCTGTGATTTTGTTGATAATAGGGAACTCATTCTATGACGGCAGGGCGGTGCCTTTTAGGGTCCCACAGCCAGGATGTGTCAGAGACTTGAACCAAAATCTACTCCTGAGGCTGACTTTCCATCCTAGGCTGTTTCTTTTCTATGACGTGGGCATTACCTGTGATTTCATTGGGTTTGGAATTTCCCTCCATTAATGAAGGTTGGCACCTTTTCTGCAATTTAGCTTAGAAAGTTATCCAGAACACTAGTGACTGCCAGGATCACCCTTTAAGGATGGGTCTGAGGAAGGACCTAAATCCAGGTCTTCTCAGCTCCAAAGCCAGTCCTCTACTCATTACACCAAGCTACCTTCTTAACGTGGTGAAGTACTGAAGAGGCTTCTCCATGTCAATGGATAACTCCATGTGATCACCATGGATGACTATAGGGTTAGAATGAAAGGGAAGTAATACAGAGAAAGGGTGCCAAGTCAGTCATTTATAGGCCTTATTCACAAGCCTCAGAATGTGGAAGGCCATTGGTGTCCCCAAAGTTTTAGGACAGTTTATTAAGGCTTAAAATTGCACTGAGACTTTCAGGACAGCCTGTATCCACAACCTCGTTGAAAGTATGCTCAAAGGGGCAGCTAGGTGGCACAGTGGATAGAGCACCGGCCCTGAAGTCAGGAGGACCTGAGTTCAAATCCTTCCTCAAACCAAATACTTGACACTAGCTGTGTGACCCTGGGCAAGTCACTTAACCCCAATTGCCTAAAAACAAGCAAACAAACAAACAAAAAAAGAAAGCATACTCCAAGAAGAGTTGCGATAATGTATCTCTGTCCCTTTGTTGTGGAAGTGGAGGATTATGGATATGGAATGTAGCATACACTGTCAGACACATTCAAAGTGTTCATGGGTTTTGTTAAACTGCTTTTCCTCCTCTTTCTGGTTTATTTGTTTATTACAAGGGAAGGTTTGCTGTGCTGGGGAGGGAGGAGAGATGTATTTGGAAATGAAGGGGATGTTAAAAAAAAAGGCTTCCATTTTAAAGACAAGAAAAAAAAAGAAAGTGTGCTCCAAGCTCAATTCATCACACTAATTTAAGTGACATGTAGAAGTTTTTCAAGAGGCAGACTTTCCAGGACTCTGTTCTGCTCCCTTTTCTGCTGTCCCTATCTACTTTTTTTTTGCTCATTTCATTATTCATGAGATAACATCTATAAAACACTGTGCAAATGTATATTAATACTTCTCTATGATTATGATTGCAAATAACTTACTTCAGTGGTATTCACAGCTCAGAGTCCCTGGATGATTAATTACTAACCATTCACTCCAGCTTAGCTTGTACACTTCTTACAGGTGTTAAAACAACACCAGGCTTGTTGGTGGCTTCCCCTAGCAGGACCAGCACAGCCCAGGTGATCCATTTCAGTATTTTAATTACTACGCTTTTTTCCTAGGCTATTTTTAAATAATGCACAAGAATGCGGTAAAGATCAACACACTCCTCAGTGTAGACAAATCCCCGCAGGGGACAGTGCCTAAGGTGCTGCTCGAGGGACACAGATGTCACTTTCCCAGGACCATACAGTTAGCTGGTGGTCAAATGCAGGTTTTGAATTCAGGTCTTCTTGACTCCAAGGCCAATGATCTACCCTCTGGGTTAACCTGAGGCTACGTAATAGAAATTGTAGTAATTAATCAAATTCTGTCAATCAAAGAAATTGTCAGTGTTTCATAGAGTAAAAGCAGCAGCTGTCTCTCTGCTGACCAGATGGTTAGCAGCTCAGTACTTCAGAAATGAAAAGACAGATGATATCATGCTTGTTCATGATTCCACAGCACAGATATGGTAGGGCAGAGCTAATGTTGGAAAAATAATTTCCTTGCCAAATTATTTTTAAAATCTGAACAAGGAGGAAGCTTGGTAGAAAGAGCCTGATGTCAGAGTCAGAGGATGGAGGTTTAAACACTGCCTTTCATTCTTACTATATGTGTGACCTTGGGAGAGTCATTTTTACCTACCTGGGTGTTAATTTCTTCATTTGTAGAGAAAGTAGATGGCCTCTGGGGTCCCTTCCAGCTTTAGATCTAAGATCCTGTTACGTGCAGAGCACTGGGCTAAGGGTTGTGAGGCCAGGGTTGGGGTAAGGGATTACAAGTGAAAATAAGACAGCTCTTCTGATTGGTCTCCCTGCCTCAAATCTCTCTCTGTTCCAGTCCATCCTCCACTCTGTTGTCAAACTGATCTTCCTAAGTTGCAGGTCTGACCAGGTCACCTTCCTATTCAATAAACTCTAGTGGCTGCAGAATCAAATGCAGACTCTTGCTCTAATCTGGCATACAAGGCGCTTCAGAACTTGACTCCTTCCTACCTTTCCAGTCTTCTTACACCTTAAGCCATCCACTGTGATCCAGTGATTCTTTCTCTCCTCATCTCTACCTTCTGGCTTCTTTCAAGGCTCATCTAAAATGTTCCCTTCAAGAGGCTTTCTGGGTCTTTCTTAGTGCAAGTGCCTACTTGCTGTTGATTATCTCCCATCTATCTATCTATCTATCTATCTATCTATCTATCTATCTATCTATCTATCTGTCTGTCTGTCTGTCTGTCTGTCTGTCTGTCTGTCTATCCATCCATCTATCTATCCATCTATCTGTCTGTCTGTCTATCTGTCCATCTCTCTCTCTCTCTCTCTCTCTCTCTCTCTCTCTCTCTCTCCCATCTATCTATCTATCTATCTATCTATCTATCTATCTATCTATCTATCTATCTATCTATCTGTCTGTCTGTCTGTCTGTCTGTCCATCCATCTCTCTCTCTCTCTATATATATATGTATATATATATGTATATATATATGTATATATATATATGTATATATATGTATATATATATGTATCTATCTTGTGCATAGTTTTTTTTTTTTTGCACATTATCTCCCCTATCAGATTGTGAGCTGCTTGAGAGCTTGGACTTGGAGCTTTCTTTGTATCCTTAGCATAGTAACTGGCACATAGTAGGTACTTAATATATGCTTATTGACTGACTGACTGACTGACCGACTGCTTCCCTCAAGGAACTTATAATTTAGTAGTAGAAATAAAGTATGTTTTTGTATCTCATTACTCTTCAGCTGTAGGATTTCTATAATTCTATATACTTCTTTGCTAAGAACTGTATACTAACAGTAAGTACAGACATGTAGGAAGGTGACCATTTTTATATTATAGATATTGCCAGCTGGCATTTATTTTTTATGAAATTGAAAGCAGTAGCCTTCATTTTAGTTTATGAAGATGCAGGAGCCATCTCGCCCATTTTCCCCATGCGTTCTCTTACTAGTTGGGTCCCTGTCCAATGTTATCAGCATCTTGCATTTCTAATTGTAATTCTGCTCATGTCTACTGCAAAATGTGGAGAAAGTGAATGGGAAAACTCACCACATCATCTAGTTCAGGAGAAAATACTCCGTGATTGCTCCAAAGCAGCAACATTCTCTAGAAAAGTTTTCATAAGCCCTTGAAAAAAAAGTACAGACCCAGAATGAGAAGAGTTGGAAATGAAGAGATTCATGAGTGACACAGATCTCAGGAGGGACTACTTCAGGCAAATTTAAGATTCTTGTACTTTTTCTTTATTTTTTATATCTTTTTTCTTTTATATTATATCTTTTTCCAATTACAAGTAAAGACAATTTTTAAGATTCTTATATTTCATTTTATCAAAGGCTTCTTCTTGGAGGAAGCCCTTGAATCATGGATAATCTTAAACTTTGGAGAGTAGAGTAATAGCTAAGGTGAGAAGAGAAAATTTGACAGTCACTATGTTAAAAGAAAATTTCAGAGCAACACTGGCAAGTCTTGACTATGATCATTTTTGAGAAACTTAGAAGATGATTTCTAAATGAGCTAGAAGGGAAGAGTTCAAAGGAAAGAATGTCTATAAAAACATGGAATTAAAGGCTTTAACAAATAATTATTCACCATGAAGATACTATAGCAATTAAATCAATAACACATCTATGAATTGATCCTAGCAGAAGGCACCAAGTCACTTTTTTGTTTAATCAGTAATACTCACCAAAAGCCACTTGGAAGCTGCAATATGAATGGAATGCCCTGGGATGTGAGCTTGGCTTTGGTCTTGTTCAGAAATACACTCAAGTTTATATAGTAGATAATAGTACGATTTCAGAAGCCTGGGAAAACTTGAGGAATGAATAATCTTTAATTCTTAATAAAGCATTCTTCATACAGGTGTTGAGTTATATACGAAAAATCTTAAAACTTAGTTTTCTCTCTGTTGGAAAATTTGGATTAGCAAGGTCAGATTTAAAGCACTATTAAGGATCTGCACAACCAATCGGCATTGAGGAAAATCATTTTACCCTCCCAAGGTTTAAGGTTGAAAAACACATCCTATGTAAGGTTGACAATGTGTTATTATACGCATTCTTAAATCAGCTCTCTTATTATGTGTAATAACAGGCCAGGAAAATGAGCTTAGAGCAGTAACATCTGAAAGATGATACCAAATGATGATCTTGGATTTTCGATGTATATGCTATATCAGCCACTGTCTAGGCAATGACAAAGAGAAAGGCTGCCTATACACCAAAATATTTGTAGCAGCACTTTTGTTGTAGCAAAGAACTGGAAACAAAGTAGATGCCCATCGAGCAGGGAATTGTTTAACAAATTATGGTACATGAATGGAATGGAATGTGACTGTGTTATAAGAAGTGGAGAAAAGGATGAATAGAAAGAAGTGGAAGACTCATTTGAGTAGATCAGCTCTGGGCATTTTCTCAGGCTTAGCACTGGCTGGCACATAATAGGTGCTTAATAAATGTTTATTGAATGAATGAAGTAAGCAGAAGCAGGAACACAGTCTACAGCAGAGTAAATGGAAAGAACAATTAAACAGCAGAAAATGAATGCTGGAAAATTTTAGTGACCAAACTTGGCTCCAAAAAGGACATCTGAGAATGGCCATCTCTCCTGTTTTGGCCAACGTGGGGAATGATTGGTGTGGAACTTTACAACTTCATATAACTTCAGAATTTTTTGATTTGTTGATTAGTTTTACTCCTCCTTCCCTCCTTTTACTCTTCATTATAAGGGATGGGCTGTCTGTGAAGGAGAGATGAGTGAGCTATATTGAGAAATATAAATGATTAAAAAAACAAAAGAAATCAACAAAATTTATTTGAAAGAGAAATAAAATGTTTAAGAATCAGATGCAAGTTGCTATAATTTAGACACGATTATTGCAAATTTATGGCCATCAGCAAAAAATGAGCCAATAAAACTTGTTTCCATGGTGGTATTTGGATTAAGGGACATAACATTCTTTGTTCTGTATTTTTATTTCTGTGGGGCAGCCAATTTTCCTCTTGCTTTGGTTTGCCACAGACACAGGATATAGAGTTCTTTAAAAGATCTTTGGTATCCAGGGAGATAGAAGGAATTGGTAAAATGGCAGGTGAAGACTCTCAGCCATACCTGAAAAATGATAATTACAACATCAGCAGGAGAATATTGACATTAAAATATGAATCTTTGTTTCTGGGAGAAACCTGGGGGAGGGGTTAACAAAAAAAACCTGAGCAATTTTGAAAAGACAAGCTAACCTACTCTTCCTGTTAATTTTGAGTTCTGTCCATTGTCCATCTTTGGTGTCTGTCCAAGATCTCTGTACTGATGGACCAGCACTTTGGATTGTCTATCGAACTTTATCAGAGTCTGGACAATAAGCTTCCTTCATCCAGTTGACCTTTCCTGTGTGGATGGTTAGGCTAACGTCTTTCATGTGATTGTAAAGCTCATATAGGAAACTATGAAATATTCTGGGACTTGGTGTGATCATCACCATTCACAGACAAGAGCATCTTAGGGATCTCATCTTTTGATAATCTTCATTCCATTTGGGCTCTATGGTAGACGTCTTCCTTGGTGGTGGCTTGTTAGTAATAATCAGAGATTTGTCTCACAAAGTTCTTTCTATTGTTATGTTTTCCAAGGAAACAGTATGATTTTAACATACTCAGTGGAGATATCTAATAGGAGGGGAGCTTTTGAGATGGAGTTTTGCCCTCCTGAATCAAATGCTTTAAAAAAACTGTCAACAAATAACAAACACTGGGGATCTTGTATCCTTTATATCTTTCAGCCAATTGTTGGTCAGTGAACGAGTGCTTATTAAGTGCTTACTATGTTTTTGGTACTATTCTAGGCTCTGGGGATACAAAAAATGCAAAAAGAGCTGCCCTCAAGGAGCTCACACTCTAGTTGGGGAGACAGCATGTAAATAATGAAATACATAAAACATATATCCAGAGTAAATGGAAAGCAGGCTTTGTGGGGAAGGCATTATCAGTTAGAGGAACTGGGAGAGGCATCCTGCAAAAGATAGGATTTGAGAAAGCCAGGGAAATTAAGAGAGGCTAGTAAGGAGGGAGAGAATTCCAAGTATGGGGCACAGCCAGTGCAAAGATTGTAGAGCATATGGGAATAAATTTTACCATACAAATGATTCATATATATATGTATATATGAATCATTTGTATAGTAAATATACATAGTATATATGCAAAGTATATACAGTATGGTGCTAAGCACTGGGTATAGAAAGAGAAAAGTAAGCTATCCCTGCTTTCAAGAAGCTCATACTCTAATAGGGGAGACCACACATAGAGGAGAGGTTAGCCAGAAGGCAGACAGAAAGGCCTAGTGATCCTTCCTTAGGGCATAGGGGTAAAGCAGATGGCAGGGCAACTTTTTTAATGTTATTTCCACAGGTGAAACCATATCTATTTCTGGTGTTGAATCATTTGATGGTGCCAAGGACTTTGGGGAAAATAATTTGCTTTTCTTGGAAGCAGTGGCTGATGAAGGTGGGGATTTGCATCTGCACGGCGATTGCTTCCTGGATGATGACTGGAAGAAAGCTGGGGGTCAAGTGGGTGTTGCTAGTCCCTAGATTCTCTTCAGGGGAAGGGGTGGTAATAGTTTGTCTTGCTTACATGTAGCCTTCTGGCTCTCCTTCAAGGTACCTTGTGGCTTTAGCAGAGATAGCCACAAACTTCACCTCTTCCATGCCTCCCAAATGCTATTAGGAATGCCTTGAGGATGGTGGCATAGCTTAATCTCTTATCCTGGCCCTGTCCACATAGGATCAACCTTTTTTCCTAAGCTTAACCATTGGTTTCCATTATTTGTTTGGCAACAGATATTGTTAGTGGTCAACAAATGATCATCCATCCATTTCTACAATTTAGGTAAAGTATTCGGATTAGGGAAAATTTATGAGGGAATAGTGGGTATAGAGAGAAGTTGAGAGATGTCTTTTTTTCCAAATTCTTTGGGTATGCCCCTGCCACATGAAGGACTGTGGCTAGGGCCAGAAAGTACAGAAAGTGGTGCTACAACCCATCAACTCCATCTTTTGGGACAGCTGGTTCCAAATTCAGGTGTGGCTCTATGACCGTGCAGACTTGGGTTTGATGGGCACGTAGATCTTACACTGGATAAAGTGAAGGAGATTCTGAAAAGAAATCAAGGAAACAACTTGACTGGATCATGGTAGAAAGGAGACAGTTCCAAGGGCTCAGATCATCGTTAACTAGAAGTGTATGGTCAACAAAGTCAGAAGTTACTGAGAAGGCAGCACCATGTTTTTTTTCTTTGTGATACTTGGCTGGCTACACGCAGTTTCGTACATTTCCCCACATTATTCTGATTGTTTTTATGGCATTACAATAGTGCAGTACACAGACTACCATGACGTTTGTTTCTATTCAAACCAAACCAAACCCAAGTCTCCAGAAGACTCACTTCTTCTATGGGATCTTTCCAGACCATGCTAGTGAAACGAATCATTTCAACCTCTCCAGTAAATTCTCTCATACTTCCTTCTTTCCTTTTTACTCCAAATTTAATTAATTTTTCCCTAATTGCTAAGCATATTCTTGCCCATCTACTCCCCTCATTGAACAGTAAAAACAAAAAGATAGCCCATATAATAAGTATGCAAAGTCAAACAAAAAAAGTTCCTATGAAGACTCATCCTTTCTTTCCTCAAAACTTGGCTCTGTCCCTAAATCAGCTGTGTGTCTTTGGGTAAATCACTTCACATCTCTATGGACTGATTTCCTCAACTCTGAAACAGGTGATAGCATTTTGTAAAGTGTTGAGTGGAATACAGGTGGGAGGGACTTTGGAAGGAGAGCTGTTTACTTGGAGTTAGTCTGCAGCAGAGACCCAGATGGATGAATCAACTTTAACAGCCAGTCTGTTTACTTGAGAGCAGATTACTAAATAACAGTAAGTCTAACCTGACTAAGCTTATCCCATCATTTCTCCCAGACAGCATCTAATCATTTTTTTCCAGAGCTGTTAATGTCTTTTTTCCCTAAACAATTCTCATACTTCAAGTTACCTGCCCCACCAAGTGCCTTTGCTAATGGCCTTCTTGTGCACTTACTTATGGTTTT